TTTAAAATATATTTAAATAAAAAAACAGTTATTTTAAATTGTAATAATATTTCACATTATGGTTTTTACTGTATTTAAGATCCATTAAATGCAGCCTTGGTGAGCAGAAGATACTTCTTTTATAAACGTTAAAAAAATCTTACCAACTCTAAACTTGTGAACAATTCTTCTAAAAAGCTTCTCCTGCATTTGTTAATTCAGAGCTGTAACGTTTGCTAAGGGTCTCTGTGTGTACCTGCGCTCAGGCTGCTGCTGCAGGCACAGTTGGACCAGGTTGTGCAGTGTGGCCGAGTGGTTTTTGGGGGCGGGGCTTTGAGGTCTCTCCGCTGGGGCAGTACGAGTCAGACTTCCGGTCGCAACACTCTCACCGATCCCCGAATCCACACCGGAGCGGGACACCTTGAGCGCACACATGTCTCCGAGAGGATAAGGAGGGACGTCGAGGAGACAGCAGTGAGAACCCCGCAGCTTCTGAAGCAGCATCTGTAGAAGAAGAAACAGGAAGTGAGTGTTTGGTAGTCACGGTTGCGAGCAGTAGATGCACATGTGAAGAACTGCAGTACCAGAGTGGGCGGCATGTCCTGGAACGGCACTCTGCCACTGACCAGCTCACACGCCACGATTCCCAGACTGTAGATGTCTGATTTCACTCCATAGCCGTGAAGATCCTTCATCACAAAAAGAGAGACACAAAAATCACAATGTTTTCAGAACTGATGTTGGTGTTGACATTGACCAGGCCTTATAAATAAGAATGTACAATATATTAGTACTATATCAGTTATCAGCTGATAATAGTGATTTTATTTAAATGTAATATTATCAATGTTATTTTAGTACAGAGGTACTATTATAGTTTTTATTCATATTTTGAATTAATCTTAATTTATATACATTTTCTGTTTTCATTTTAAGTAAAAGGTTTAGCAATTTTGTTGTGCATTTTTATCATTTTAGTTTTTTATGTCTATATAGGTTTCGTTCATTTTTATTTCAGTTTTACTTTCAAAATAATTTAGTATATCAAGTTCAACAATGTAAATGAGAAATGTTGCATTGGCAACTAGCTGAAACTAAATAAGCTGAAGTTCATAAAATAAAATAAAATAAAATAAAATAAAATAAAATAAAA